AAAAAAATGATTTACAATGTGATTCCTGTTTCATCATCCTGCTTGCCTATAGGACTTCGTAGTTTCAACGAAAAGCTGAACCAACTGCAACAGCTGATCCGAGAATGTAGCCTTCTCAAAACAGAGCTTGACCAAATATCACCACTGGAACATGTATTTGTGGGAATCGGCGACGTTCTAAGAGTGAGTTTGTTAAGTTTTTGGGAAGCATTTCGAGTAGTTCGCATCAATTTTCCGCTTATTTTGTCTATTTTGTTCTAGAAAGAAAATATCCTGGTTGAATATCCTTGTCGTGCAAGTCCTGAACTCCCCGCAAAATCGACTTCTTTGGAAACTGATATAGTCCAGGCTATAAGAGACGAGGAGAAGCAGGCAATTCCATCTGATCCTCCTAAGGTGTGCTGAATGATGTTTGTGGTTATGGTTCTCCCAAATTGGACTTGTAGGAACCAAAAAGCAGCGTCAATTGTATCCTTCTCCCTGTTAGCACTGAAGAATTCGAGGAGATTCCCAAATATATGCGCGGTCGTATGACGTGTGCTGAGCTCAATGAGGTGAGATTTTGAAACAATGTTGAATGGTTTATTAATGGGAACGTAAAGCATGGTCATTATTTTGCTCAAACTGAAAAAAACACTGCTTCCAGATTGTTCTGAAGCTGGATGAATTTTTGTCGCAAAAACGTCGCCTGTTGAATGCTCCTTTCAAAAAGTTGTCTATGAAGGAAAAAGATCAAGTAACGAAATGGAAAGAACAAGTAAATCTTTCCTAATTTTTGTTTCCATATTGATATTTTATTATCCCCTAACTTTGTGCAAACGCTGCTTGGCTGTCTAGTATCTCTATCTGGTGTAACCAAAACAAGATTAATTTTTGTTTGTAATTCTAGGAAACTGCTTGTACAAGTGGCAAATTGTTCTGTCAAGAAGTCGATGTGAAACCAATGCTGTCCGATCGTGCTCGAACCCTTTTCCGTTCAGCTGCCCCTTGCTTGCGTCATGTTCGTCGCATCAGGGAAGTTCGCGAAAAAGGGCGGGTGTATTTATTACCGTACTAATAATTTTTATGCATGTACATACTAGCTTTACCTAATTACTGTCATGAGTAGAGTATTTTTTCTGTCTCCTTGTCGCAGAATTGAAGGTTTTTTTTTGTATTGTAGATCTTTCTGCTGTATGCCACTTATTATTGTGTCTGTCTTGAGGATTATTTGCTTGTACTTGACTTGATATATAACTTGCATCAATCCGCTTGGAGTGATAAATGAATTTTACTTCTTGTTTTGTCTATTGTTATGAGGATTTTATTCCTATATATATTAAATGCTTTTTGCCAGTATATATACATATATATTTTTTTCATATCATCATCTACTTTTTTTAAGAAGATGAGCGATGAAAAGTACGAGATAAAACGCATCTTAGCGGAACGAAAGATTGATGGAAAATCAGATAGAATGGAGTATTTGGTAGATTGGGAGTGGGTGCTTTGCTGCATTTCTAAATTTTTTAGTTTGCTGAGTCTCTATTTGTTAAGGCCGACATGGGTCTTTGACTCAGATATGGATGCCAATTTGCTGGATGACTTCCATTATTCGGTTGTTGTTCTTGGTCCCATTCATACCCCTGAGAATCTTCAGAAGAAGTCTATCAAGGAGATGGATATCGTTGTCCAGAGGTAAGTTAATGAAGTTAGTGTACTATTACACTCAAGTCCTCTTCGGCAAAAACAACAGACTCCGTTCTTTTTTCTTCTTTGAAGTAAAATTTTGTA